CGCTTGGTGACGGCAGCTGTGAAGGGCATCAGATAGAGATGGCATGCCAAGAAACATCTACGCACCGCTTGCAGCGGTAGCAAGGGCAGCGATGGATGCAAGCTTGGCGAAAGACATTGCGACGATGGAGAGGGTAGGACCGGTGAAAGGTAGGCGACGAGAGACCGCTGAAGCCTGGCTCTCTGCATTTTGCAACCGTCAGACTTTATACTCACCGAATCACAGAGTATGCAGCTCGACTTCAATTCTGAGATACAGATCGTATACACGCGTGTGAAGCAAGCGGTTCAAAAGTAGAGCTTTCGAACCGGACGGCAGGGGCTTGCAGCCAATGAGTCCAAAGATTTTCCCTTGTTCAGGTAACCAATGCGTGCTCTTCCCATAGCGGCGAGCCGATCACCCAGTGCAACGGACTAGGGAGAGGGTGTACGGGCTATTTTCGCGAGCGTGAGGGAGGCGTGTCAAAGCGGGCTGTGATGCCGTCGCGCGCTCATGAGAGGTCAGCAAAGCCGGTCACACAAGCGCGGAGGCGGAGCACGAGCGATGCGTTCCGACACAGCTTGCACTTGGGCGGATGCCCCCTAAGCATGCTGTTAAAGGGAGAGATTTGCATCTCCATACAAGTTGAGCTCTGTTGAAGACTGGCCGTGTATGCCTCGGAATTATATCTGTATGCTAAGCTTTAGATTATAAGGCGAGTCTCTGATTTTGTCCACCATACAGGCACATAGTATCGTGACGTGTCGCGGTCGTAGAGCAGGAGCAAGCCCTGGATTGGCAGGGAATGGTTTCCCATCCCATGCGCACATGCGAGTTCTGCTTTGGCTTTGTCGTATACAAGCTATCCTAGACGATATGGCCACTGACGATTCGTGTATATGAATGCCACAGGTTTGTATTGGTAGGGATGTTGTTTGCTGTAGTAGAGATTACAACGATGCCGCGGTGGTCGGGCGAAGCCAGTGGGTGGATTTGAGCTTGCATCCTAGGACACCTAGCGAGTTCCGAGCGAAGCCGAGAAACGAGCTCTCAGGCATACGTTCGCGGCCCAATGATTGGAACACGGGTGGGAGCATTCAGGCAGCATAACAGCGTATGCATCCTGGTCGGGTGGGATGTGGTTCAGCGTCGCCTGAGAAACCAGCGAGGGACAGGTTCCATATTCGTGAGAGCCTATGCCTTCTAACGTTATATGTATGCTCAAAATCTACAATAAGTCGGTATAAGGCCGACCAGCGGCACAGCCCGATACCTGTATCATACCTCCAGCTAACCTTAATATCGACATCCCGGAATTCGCCAGCGCACTCGACCCCCCGCCGCTCGCTGCGCTCGCATCGCGGGCGTCTCGTGCGCTGGCGACGTGCTTGACAATGACTTGTCGTTGACTATTGTTCTCCTGCCGTGGGTAAAGTCACATGCATTTTTGCACGGTCAATGCAGAAATCTCAGGAACGGGTCCCGTTTAGACAATGTAAGACCCAAACCTAAAGGTATCGGGAATTAAACATGGCAAGATGTCCGAGTGGTCTAAGGAGTGGGATTCAAGTTGCGCCACGTGACTTCCCGGCAACAGCCGGGCCGATTCCCCATAGCGTAAGCTGCGCGGGTTCAAATCCCGCTCTTGTCATACTTTTGCTTAGAGAGGATACGTTTTGTTGTGGGGACGATGGTGGAAAGTGTTTGGGAAGCGCGGGAGAGAGTGCGAGCCTCATGATGGCGTGGTCGCTGTCAATGTCAGGAATGTTCCCAGGACTGCTTTGTCTTACACCTCCATCATAGCCTTGACATCTTCTCCACGACTGGCCTAGTCTCCCATGCAAGGCTTCAACAAGTACTATCCGCCTGACTACGATGGAGAGAAGCACAAGAGTCTGAACTCCTACCGAGGCAAACATGCGCTCGGGGACCGTGCTCGCAAGATAGATCAGGGTATCCTCATTACCCGCTTCGAGCTTCCATTCAACATCTGGTGGTACGTACACCCTAGCATTTGGCACTAGCATATAACCCAGCTCGTTTTACAGTGGATCATGTGAAGCCCACATAGGCATGGGCGTACGCTACAACGCCGAGAAGAAGAAGGTCGGGATGTACTACTCGACGCCGATCTTCAATTTCCGGTGCAAGTGCCACTTGTGCAGCAACTGGTTCGAAATTCAGACGGACCCTCAGAACACGCGTTATGTCGTCGTGAGCGGGGCACGGAGGAAGGAAGAGGATTGGGATCCCGAGGAGAACGGTGGTTATGGGGTGCATGGTACGTATTCTGCATTTATATGTAACATTGAAGTGGTACTGAAGTGAATCCAGATACGGAAGCAAAGACCGTCGAGGAGGACCCGCTTGTCGCACTTGAGAAGAGCACAGGCGCTCAGACTCACGCTGACAAAGTGCAGGCACCACGAATCGAGCAGCTGCTTGACGAGTCAGATCGACTAAACTCTGATCCTTACGCGCATTCTGCGAGGGTACGCAAGCGGTTTCGCGAGGAGAAGAAGGTCGAACGTGCGGCGCAGGCTGCAGATGACGCCGTCAAGGCGCGTCTTGGACTCGGCAGCGATCTCAAGTTGCTGCGTGACGATGCAGAGACCACGGCAGAGGCCAAGGATGCGTGGGTAGCAGCGAAGAGAGAGCACGTTGTGGATGCAAGGGACTTGAAGAGACGCAGGCTTGGAACAGCGAAGGCTAACTCGACGAAGGCCTCCAGTTCTGGCTCGACAGTGGCAGCGCTCAAGGCGCGGGTATTGTCGAACACTGCGTCAAAGAAGACAAGTCCGTTTGGCGCGTCATTATCAGGAGGAACCTCGGATATGGGTCGACCAAGTAAAGCTGTTGGTGTGGCTCTTCGAAGAAGTTGACCTGTTTGTTTGTTCTTCCTGTGCAATTTCTGTGTCTGCATTCGCTCTGTTTTTGCATCTCTCGCTGTGATCATCGCTAATCATGTTATGGTCTCTGTAATCATGTCCAACCATACTCTGTATCATACACTGTATCTCTGTACGATCCCATGGTCAAGTACCAACTCTCAATGGAGGAACACTCCGCCATTCGGGCCGATGGTCTGGCCCGTCATAAAGTCCGATCTCTCGTCAACGAGGAAGGATATAACTTGAACGACATCCTCCGTGGTACCATCACGGCCAATGGGTGGCTTTGTCATGTTCTATAGGCCTCGTCATCAGCCACGACTGACTTTTTCGTATAACACGATAGACTTACCGCAGACATCCCGCCGCCTTTCATAGCGCCCTCCATGGAGCGAGCTGATTCGAAACAGTCAATCTGCATGCTATGAGCCAAGAGCATGGAGCGCGCTTACCGAATGGTGTGTCCGGGAGCATCCCTGGGGCATAGGCATTCACCGTGATCTTATGTTTAGCCAATTCCGCCGCTGTACACGCAGCATAAGCACACAAGCAGTCATGCAAGCATGAAACGAGCTTGCCGGCACTCTGCATGATTCCGATGATTGCAAACTTGCTCGCGCAGTAACCCAAACCAGGCGCCTGGCCCTGTAAACCGGCCAGAGAAGTTGCGCCTGGAGAACGTAACCCAGGTCAGGGTGAGTGTACCGAGACAGTAAAGTGTACTCACAGACGATACGTCCGCCACGGCCCTGCTTGACCATTTGGGCAGCGCCGTGCTTCAGGCAGAGGAACTCGCCACGGGCGTTAACCTTCATCATCACGTCAAAGTCCTCGACCTTCAAGTCGAGAACGGTGCCGGCGCGAATAACGCCGGCATTAGCGATGAGCTGGAGCATATTCCGGTATGGTGTTCAACAACATGTCAGCTAACGATGCATATACTTACGATATCAAGGCCTCCGAGTTTCTCGGTAACCTCGGAAATCATGCGCTGGACGTCCTTTTCCTCGGAAACATCGGCGAAGATGGCACAGCTACGACGGCCCATACCGGTAATCTCCTTCGCGACTGGTTCGAGCGCGGATCCCGGAAGGTCGCTGACTGCGACATCTATCCCATCTTCTGCGAACTTCAGAGCAGTCCGACGTCCGATTGCACCAGCGGCGCCTTGGTGAAGCGCGATGTTAGCGAAGATGTTCGGAGAATGATCAACTCCGCGCGGCTGCACCTGTAACAAGGGCTACACGGGGCGACATGATTGTGATCGAGAGTGTGGGTCAGTTGAGGTAGGGCATACGGTCGGCTTGCACAGCTATATGGCGCCGGAAGGCTGTGGCGCCAGACAGATAGAAGGCATGGCGGCGTCGAGCTACGTCAAGGGAAGGAGGTCCATACCTTGCACTCCATAGGGGTACTGTCAACCAAGCAGTCGTGCTCTCTCGGTACAGGTGAGCGGAATCGTATAAGTTCATAGTGATAACCATTCGGTCATCGCAAGCGTGCCGAAGAAGCCAGTGCATGCATCTTAGAGGTAATGTGACACTGAAAAGATGATCAGTAAGAAGTCTTCAGCAACATGCTTGGACCCAATTAGGACGACAGCATACCCATATGTCTGCGCCGAGTGCCCGCATCGTACCTCTCATCAAGAAGAGCATGCGCCTCACATCAGTAAAAGAAGCAAGTGGTCTATAGACACAGTTCCACATGTTCATTCGGTTATTGCAGTCCGATACCCAAACAGAATAGACGTGTGCCGACGCAAGATCTCAGTCGATCAGCCAGCAAGAGTTCCGTATCCCGCTGACACCGCACCTCCCCCGATGGCCACAGGCTGTCCGAATGATGAATCTACGGCAACGGCCGATGCGCGCGACACTGCATCATTTTCTTTTTCCCGACGTTTCCGCTCCAGGAGAAGGAAGGACACGACGATCTCGTCCTGGATGTCTTGCACACTCTTCCCCACAAGTAGCTTCGAGGGTACGATGGTGGTAGGATCATCGGCTGAGCGATCGATGTGTTGCCTGATGAATCGTGCGACGGGCTCTGTCTTCGATTCAGTAGCGAAAAGCTAGCGGTATACCAGATCGCGTCAGAGCCGCTTTATCATGATGGAGTCCGAGTTATACCTGTAATGCGAGACCAGGCGCGTTATTTGCCCACTTCAACTCACGGCCCTTAGCAGTGAACGTCGCCGTACTGCACTCGCACGTTTTGAATCCATCTTGAACACGGCGTGCTCTGGATGCTCACCTCGCAAATGGCATCTTGCTCTTCTTCAACCAATCACTCGCGGAGGCCGCCGGGCGACCGGTAAATGTCAACAGATCGGAGCGCAGAGTGCTGCGCCAGACCCACTCGGCGACGAGCGCATCGCCGCGATGCAGACGTGTAACAGGCTTATTGATGTTCGATAAATCAGTCGTGACGGTGTAGACCGCCGCTCCAGACACGTCGTAGATCGTCGTATTGGATGGATTGTCTCTCCCGAGTGTAAGCGTGCAATAATCGGGCTCCGTGGTCATCGGTTTCTTATGTGAGTGGGCAGATGCAAGCGCTGCGATTGAGACGTGAAAGTCGGAGACAGAGCGGAAGACGATGTCCAACGTGCGGCACTATATAGCGTCGCGCAAAGCAGTGCCTGTCCCGTTAAAAGCAGTGCTAGTACGAGTCCGAAAGTGTCCGAGGATGATGAATTTCCTATAACAAGTAGCATTATGGAGGTCACGCGACATATGCGGCCCCTGAAAGACGTAGTGTACGCCACGGGGTGCCCGCGGGGTCGCCTGAGATGACCCGTCCCCGTCCCCGCCAAAACCCGTCCCCGCGCAGACGGGGACGGGTTCGCTTTCCCACGGGGACGGGAGGCGGGTTCGACGGGTTTGCCCACCCCGAACCCTAGTCCGAAGCCTTGACAAGCTACAAAGAGCTTTTCAAGGCCCCTCAGGAGGGCATATGCGGCGTTCGGGGTGCATCCTGAGCGATGGCAGGGCGAAAATCGCTCGCAGCGGCCTACCAAGCTCACCCCGCGGGGTTGACGGGTTGGGCGCGGGTCGACCTTGCCAGCCCCGTCCCCGTCCCCGTCGAGACCCGTCCCCGCGACCCGCGGGTTTGGAGTGACCCGTGGCGAACACTAGAAAGACGTCGGCGACGAGCGGT